TGGGAGACAAGCCAGCCGGGAACCCGACCACAAGCACCCAGCCTGGGAGACAAAAGAAAAGAACTGGGAGACAAATGAAAGGAAGTGGGAGACAAGCCAGCCGGGAACCCGACCACAAGCACCCAGCCTGGGAGACAAATGAAAAGAACTGGGAGACAAATGAAAAGAAGTCGGAGACAAATGAAAGGAAGTGGGAGACAAGCCGGCCGGGAACCCGACCAGACCATCCAGCACCAAGGCGACCATTCTTTAAAGCATTGAGAACCCCTAACAGTAAACTGTTTGGGGAATAAATGAAAACCAATACAACCAAATTAAGCAAACATACAAAAACACAAATTAGCCGTGTGAGCAACACATAAGTTTGTTCATACCATGTTTCATCAATGTTCATAACATTTTGATATTTTTCCCAACATTTATGAAGCAATTACGTTTTTAAAATGAACAATTTTATGAAACATGGTACGGCATTTTTGTTGGATGGATTCAGGACTGTTACACTTTACGAACTTTTTATGATTCTTTACGCGGGAATTTATGAAACTTTTACGAACAATACGAAAACAGTGTAATGTTTTTTTATTTGATAAAACATTATTAAACAATGATCTGTGTTGAAATGGTTTGTATCAACTTGCTGGATTTCAATCATAATGCATGTTCCTCACGAGGAAGACATGTTTCAATAAAAAACACTCAGCAAGGACACCCATATCGGGAAAGGTGCTGTAGAAGGAAACATGTTGTTGCCAAAATTGAACCAGTATTTTCTAGTGGTGTTGTGGTGTAGTTGCCACGCACCACTGCTCAAGAAGGGCGAAGGGCCCGTCAGGACTAGCCGTAACTAGCCGCAACCAGCTGAAACCTTCTGTGCTGTCGCCACCGGAAGAGTGCTGATGGGTGTAGGGGGTTGGCCCTAGTGTTCCGAATCTTTTCGATCAGAATGAGGTTCTGGACCTTCATGTCCCTCTTGCACACGGCCTTGGGTTCGATGCGTTGGTCAAAGTCTCAGGGGTGCAAACAACAACACAACATGTGTGAATAAAGTGTGAAACCTCATAGCCCAGCCACGTGTAGAGTGACTAGGCAAGCAGAGGCAGCAGCAACGAGCGCATCACGCCATCATTGGAAAACCGAGCTTTGCGACTTTACTTTCCAGAGGACTACAGCATGATAGAGGCCCGTCATCCGAAGTATGCCCAGCGGAGCTTTGGAGAGCACAAACGCTGAAGCGATGTACGGCAGGCGTGGATGCGCGAAGAGGATGAACTGTTGAATCGGACACTTCAACGATGTCTTCGAGAAGTGCGAAAGGCCTTGGATGCAGATCCTGACGTAAGAGCTTTGGCGACTTGCAAGGCAAGGCCACTAACCTGCAAAGTATACCATGTATACCGCACGGGTTTCTGGCACTGCGGTTGCTGGACTTGGACTTACATGCGTGATAGGTGAGAGGCCGGGTGAAGAGCGTCTACAGTGTCGTGAAGAAACTTTTACGACAAAGAGGCGTATCTCGAGAAGACTTGAAAGCGCAAGCCCTCAAGGCCTGTGATCTAAGATGCTTCCGTGCTGCTTTGACTTTGAGTGTTCGCATGTTTATGCGTACCTCTTCCCTGCTTCGCTTTCCTCTACAGAAGTCGAGATCCTAGGAGTCCCCAGCGCTTGAAATGGAAGAGTCGAACAGACTGGACTGGAGAGCGAAGCATGGAAGTTGGTGGGCTATATAGTAAGGAAGCTGAGAAACGAAATTCTGCTTGGCCACTCCAGTTGCTTGCGTTGGTTTACAAATTTGGTTAGATTCCACAACTGGGATTCTGCAACCCAGCTGCCACCTTCATTCCACGTAGAGGCTTGCCACCAACTTGCGTGAGTACTAGCTGAATCAGCCAGCCACGTACGCGTGAATCCCGCAACTGTGGCATACTCGCTCGTGCCAGTGGCGCTTGCTTTTGTGTTGCTGTTTTGTGAAGGCCCTAGATGATCCCATCTGTTAATGCAACTTCCGCAACTGGGATTTCGTGGTGGTATTAACGTTCGTGTGAACTAGGGTGGGGTGGGGTGGCGTGAGGCAGTCTTCTGCCTTTGATGAGCATTCTGTCACTTCAGTCTTAGCTCTCTGATCCCAGCCTTCTGCTCGTCGTTCAATCACCATCTCGTGACCATTCTTACTTCTCATTTGGTGGACCCTTTGACCCTTTGTCCACTTACTACTTACCACTCATGTTTAGCTTGCTGTGAGTTCATCAAACAAAGCTTGGAATATTTGGACTTGTTTGAGCCACAATGTCCGTTTGCGTCTCTGGGCGTCCTTGAAACGCACCCCTCCTTTCAAGAATTTTTGGGGTGAGCTTCCTGAGCTTGTTGCCTGCTTTGTGCAATGATGGCACTGCTTTGTTTTGGCACTCACCAGAAGTTCCCCCAAATCTCTATGACTCTATGTTTTCAGTCGGTATTTGATAACCAGAAGTCCAGCTCTGTAGCAGTTCATGGGAGGTCCAGTGCGTAAGATGCAAGACACTTGGCAACGTCACCCACAAGCGGGCATGGCGGAGCCCAAGCAAGCAAGGGGTGTTACAAGGGCAACAGGTGTTGGTGACAGGCCATTTTCACCTAGTTTGGAGCAAGAGCTCAGTTTGCAGATTCGAAATCCAGCTTTGTAGCTTTTCATCTGGAAACTATCTTTTCAGCACTGGACAGTGGGAAACTGGATGAAAGATGAAAGCTATCAGCTATCACAGCAACCGTTGCTTTAGGATCACATGAATCCAAACATCTTTGAGATTGTCATTTAGCCTTGGTCTCATAGAAGACCAGTCTACCCATACAGTGGCTCTCCTAGAATCCTCAAACAACATACACTCGCTAAGGACACAACTATTTGCAAACACTTTCTTTGTCGCATATCAAAGTCACATGATTTCACTCAAACAGACACAAACAATTACATAGTTGCTTCAACAATTTGCTTGCTTCAGCCTGAATGTGTGTGACTTGCAACAGGACCTGCTCGCTTTGGAAGTTGTAGTGGATCCGGATCCGTCTGCAGAGGACAGGGCATAACTGCTGTTGACAGACAAATTTTGACCCTGGAGAGGTCCCAAGCAATCCTGAGTGGCTGGCAGAAGAGTGGCGCGAACGAGCAGCATGCTTCGCTGTGCTGGATACCCTACAACGGTATGCAAAATTGACCAAAGGATGGTCGATTCTGCCAGGATCTACCAAGGACAGTTTTGCTCCAACCAGATGTCATCGAATCATCGAACATGTTTGTTCATCGCTATCAGGACTACATTACCAAATCCAAAAAATCTGGGTACCGCGCTTTGCATATAACGCTATGCACAAATGCCGAAGACTCAATGGGATAGGTAGAGTTCCTTGGATTTGCTGACAGTTTCAAAACTCCGGGCCAAAAGTGGCAGTCTGAAAGTCATTGCAGGTCACAACTCAGATGCCGAAAGCATCCAGCCGCGCAATGCAAAGAACGCTCGACAAAATGACTTGCAAATTGGAGGTGTGGAGACGGGAGGAAAGGAGAATGACGAACATATATGTACGAGCTCAATGAATGTTGTTGCACTTGCCTTGTCACTTTATGTCACTTTGTTCGGCCGTCCTTTTCCTGCCCAAACAGTTCAGATTCAGGTGCACGTGTTCTCTGGCTCCATGAAGCAAAAAGAGCTCAAGGGATTGGCATCACACCATTTGTACAAGGTGCAATAGGGAACATACTGGAGCATTGACCGGAAACAGCATTTTTATGATTTCCGAACCGCATCATGCTTGCTTTTATGAGTGCACGTTCTGCTTGCTAAAGACTCACAAATGCATATGATACCTATACGTATGATATGTATGTATTCTATCGGATGCTGTTGCATGTTGACATGTGGGAATCTGTTTTGCGGTGATGTGTGATGAGGCGATTTCGGACGCCATTTTTCAGGATTTATATAGCAGTGAGTCGTGGTGGTCTTGAGGTTCTGTGACCTTCCCAGTGCACAATCTGTTGTGATTGCTTGTGCTCCATGAGGATTGCTGTAGACTTGTCTGACTTCTGTTCATGGCAGTGACTGTATTTGCAAGCGGTGCGTGGCGACTGGAGGAGATTTATGTGATCTCTTGTTTGTTTGTTTGTTGGGTTGGGTTGGGTTGGGTTGTTTGTTTGTTTGTTTGTTTGTTTTTGTCTCTGTGTGTGTGTGTGTGTGTTGAATGTTTGACCAGCGACTCCCAGCTCGCCAGAAGCCACACGCAGCGACTGCCCGTAAACACACGGTTTCATGCACCATATTCAATTCCGAATTTCTTGCCGTATTGACACACTCACACGCTATGCATGTCAAGGGCATTTGCAACATTGCAATCTTGGAGGTTTCTAAGCTCTCCAAGCTGCTGCTGATACATGACACTCAGTCTTTGTTCCTTCAGGCTTTGGAGCTCACTCCGGATGAAGTTTTTGGGTCCTTGGGTGGTCGGGCTGCGGGCAACTTAGAGACACCCACAAGCGTGCGGCTAGTGCATGTTTAACGCAGAGCTTTCCGCTTCTATGGGTGTGGCTGCTGCTTGTTTTTGGCCTAGGCGGATTCTATTGCTCCTTCGGAATTGAGACGTGCTGTTTGCCCACTCGAGAACCTTGACCTCTTTGGCAAGGTGCACGTAGAATTCTATGCCTGAAGGTATTTGGGTTTGAGCGATCGACAAAGGCTTTCAGTACAAACTATGCTGACCTGGAGTTTGAGAAGCTTTGCTCCAGCTGTGGACGGAGCCAGGTAGTGGCTCTGGATGTAGAAGTGTGTGGGGAACGGCTTCTAGAGTGTGGCAAGATGTATTTTTGAATACAACAGCATCCACAGAGCAGGATGGGAGGTTGACACTGGTCGATGTTCAGCAAGCTCAGCATCAAGTGTCCAAGCGTGTCGAGGACTGATCAAGCTGACTTGATGCTATTTGAAGCGAGTATTCAAAGAGTCCATCTCCATCGTTCAAACATTTTGGACACTTACTCACGAGAAGAGTGCATGTTTTAGCAGCGCAGCGCTCCAACAGCTTGGCCTTAGCACTGGACGACGCCCTTGCCAGGATTTTCGAAGAGCTTTGGAGCAGCGCAATGCTAAATGGTGGGCCAGGGTCTCAAGCTACTTTGCATCCAGCCCACTCTGAGTCCTTGACGAATGCATAGCCAATCAATGGTTGAAATCTGCAGCTCCCGAACAATCCAGAGTAAATACACCGTGTGTGATGTACAATGTTCAAGAAGAAGCAACCCGCTTAACATCACTGATATGCTAGTTGCTTGACAGGTGCATGGTGTTCAGATGGTTGGATTATGGCAGCGTGCTGCTTCTTGGGATTGGGCGAAGTGCCCTCAGACTCAGATGGGCAGTCAGAACTTGCTGATCACTTGCTATCATTTGTCATGTTGGACATTGTCTCAGTGTAAATCCGAAAGGTTGAAGCTTTCAATTCAAAACACCATAAGCACTTTGGCCCTTGCCTCCCCTTGCCCCACTTGCTGGCCTCGCACCAGCAATCCAGAAGTGTACCAGGCCCACATTATGGAGACTGTTGACTTGGCCCTCCCCTCACTCCCATCTCCCTTTCAGACAATTATGCCCTGGCTGTGGCGGATACAAATTCAGATGGTTTGTGCAGACTCTCCCCAGCAGCACTGGAACCTAATGCAGTCTACTCCAGAGCATTGTGAGCGCTTCGACCAGAAAGTCTGCGGCACTCTGCCAGAAGCCTACGTTTAAGCAGGTTAAACTAGGGGCTTGATCATGGATATTGCATCAAGTCAACCGTTGCAGGTCTCCAACTTGGATCTGAAAAGATTACATAATAAGCATGCAAGCCTTTCTCATGAATCAACCTATTCAGTGAACATACTATGTTGTTCCTCACTTGACTCGCACCAGGTATGCTGCAGAGCTGGACCCGCAACAGAAGGTTTGACACATGATACAACGGTACTACCACATGAAAGTTTAGGTCCAGCTTTGCTGCAGTCAGGTGGCAATGCTTCAAAAAGCCTTAGAGATGACGAAAAAGGCCCACGCTGGACAGGCCTGGGCACGAGAATGCCTTTATCAGTCACAAACAGCCTGTCTTGAACGCCGTGGCTCAACTTGAAAAATCAAGAGCTTAAGCAACTTCAACATTCTGAGCCAGGTGCGCCAATCCGGAGATCCCTACTGGACTCATCCACTTTCTGTGGCAGACATTCTCGCTGCAAGCCTAGATTTTGAAGCCTTTGCATAAATTATCATAAATGGTACATTCAGAACAGATTGACATACAAAAGAAGCAATCCTCATCCTGAAATTGCTTCTGATAGAATAGCTCTGAAAAGGAGAACTCAGTGTCAGTGTTTCCTTTAATCTGGAAAGTGTCGACTCCTGGAACAGTTGTGCTTTTCATTTTGGCAGATTTTTTAAGCCAGGCGCGGGCATTGTTACCACCTTCAAAACCGATTTGGGAGCCACCTCGCTTAAGCGTGGAACCAGAAGCTTTAGAACAGGCTCATCATTGTTCAGTTGTTGTAGCTTCTGGTGCTTGTTTTAGACACCGATTCATTAGTACCTGCTAGGATGCTCAACGTCTTTGGCCACGCATCGCGGAGGGGCCTGATGACATTTTTGCCATGTGCTCCGACTTTCATTTGGCACCAGCGGGAAAGCTCTGCCTAGCGATGCAGGTACACGGCCGCACTGTTGCATGACACAGTTGAGGAGGGAACACAACACAGCAGATGTGCAGTTGGTACACAATTTGTCAGACAAGTTCGCTTTCTCAGGACACCAGCATGACAGTGGAAGAGATTGAGGCCTCAAGTTGCTGACTTCTAGAAGGTTGGCCATGAGTACTGGGCAAAACGGACACCTAGTTGATTCAGGACACCTTTGGTCCGGTTGTGGCATCGCTGGTTGATGGAGTCACCAAGGAGATTGAAGCCATTTGTTGTACTTGATGCACTCGCAACACATTTTCAGCCTCAACTGTGGGTAGACGCAAGGCCCCAGTTAATCACGATTGAGACACTTGCCATACTTCCTGATGTCCAAACGAGATCTGTGGATTCGCCTGACAAGGCCTCTCAAGCCTCCTGCAAATCCCGAGCATCCAGATCAGCACAAGATTTGCGGAAGGCGCTGTTCGTGCCACCTTGAGAGACCTTTCCCTTCTCTACCAAGGTGAATGGTTGGTTGGGTAGGGACTCCTTGGGATTTGAAACATGTATAAGTGTAAGAAGCTGCAGTTCGATGCCATTTTGGCTCAAGCGCGGATTCAGGGGATTTTTTCATTTGAGCTCATGCCCCCCCGCCACCCGCCGCCATCAGCGTGCTGTCGCAGTGAGCATCGTGGGGAAGAGCCACTTGACCTGCAGGTGGAGCAGCGAGTGTCTTCGCTCCCTGCCCGCTCTGCGCATATCGCGCTTTGGCCCTTGGTGCAGCGGCGACCAGACGCCCCTGCCGGGCTTGCCCTACGACATCGCCATGCCTTCCAAGGCGTGAGCTTGTTGAAGATATGGAGATGTGGCAGAATCATCTTCGCAAAGGCTGGGTTGAAGAGAAGGACAGCAGTCCATTGTCTAGGAACAAATGTGCAGCGCTGCGCACCGCAATGCCGCGCGCACATCCTTCGGGACCAAATTTGCTTGGAGACAGGATCGCACCATTGTCCATCTCTACAAGTTGAAGATGAGCGGCGTCCTTCATGACCATGTGCGCCGCTGCAAGAAAACCGCGAAAGTCAAAGGCAAATGGATTTCATGTCGACCCATAAGGACCCAAAAGCAGGTCGAAAATTCAAGGCCAAAGCTGTACCAGGTCATTGACCGTTCCTGACGCTTTCCCAAAGGAAGAGTCCAGCTAAATCAGCGTTGCCGGGTCTGCGGCCAAAATTCTGCAGTGCGCCCAGTACGAGCTGGGACTTTGTATGTGTTGCACTTTCTCAAATCGATGGGATGAGTGCTGTGCGCGGTAAGAACAGTCAAAAGTTTAAGTTTGCATCATGAGCCATGAGAACTCTTGGCCATGCTCATACCCTGCATAGATCTTCTGTGCAAAATATCATCTGGAAATTGCGCTTGCGTCTGCACAGCGTCCGATGGCACAACAACGGTTTTCTCCCTGGCGCGCAACAACATTGCGCCGCAACTTTCCACTGCGCAGGCGCAACCGGCAGGTCTATTTTTTTGGGGTGGCTAGTAAATATGGAAGTTGTTCTATACCGGTCCCGTTATGATGGCGCAAGTAAAATAGCAAAATGTGCCATGTTAGTGGGGACACCTCTCTGAAAAGGAAATGTACCTTCTCATACACTGTCATACACTAACATGGCACACTGAGGGCATAGATGGCGCACACATAGCACATACTGTAAGCGGAGACTGGTCTTGGGGACCAGACCCCATGAGGCTCTAGAGGGGCATCTTTTCTGATGAACGCGTGTGCCATCTTAGTAAGCCAGCCAACCAAACCAATTCAAGCCATCCAAAACCATGCCTTGAAATTCCTTTATAAGCCCGCTTCAAAAACCTACCAAAAAGGGTAATTTTCAAGCTTCCAAGGGCGCTCCTCCAGAATTCTTTTTGGCAACCCGATGGAAAGAGGGAGAGACTGACTAGTCTTGGGGCCAAGCCCCATGAGACTCTAGACCAGGTCTTTCTGATCAACACGCGCGCAATCTTAGTGAGCCGTTCAACCAAACCAATTGAAACTATCCAAAGCCATGCTCTGAAATTCCTTCGCAACTCCGCTTCAAAAAACTTACGAAAAAAGGAATTTTCAAGCTTCCAAGCGCCCTCCTCCAGAAAGCAACTCTTTTTGGCGACCTGAGAGAGAGGAAACGAAAAAGAGGGGCGCTAGAAACGGCGTTCTTAACTGCTTATAAATATTCTACAGTGGCCCATGTGCCATCTTACATTGCCACTCTGTATTTTTGCAGCGCGAGTCTTTGGTTATAAAATGTCATTGCTCACTGACTGTTGAGGCTGTTGCCATGGCTCTTGCCTATCCTTTCTTGTGTTTGGCCTTTTTCTTGGAACGCTTGTGGTGTTATGATTGTTGGCAGCTTGCGCTCCAGGTTTTGCCTTTAAAATGGTGCTACTCGTTTAGCTTATACAATGCCACGGCTCGCTGGCTGTTGAGGCTGTTGTTGAGGTTGTGGCCATGGGTCTTGCCTATCCTTCCTTATTTATTGCCTTTTTCTTAGAGCCCTTGTGGTGTTATCATTGTTTGCAGCTTGCGCGCTCTAGAGTGGCCCATGTGCCATCTTACAAGCCCATACTAGCATTTCTGGGTTTTCCGATGCGCCGTCTTAAGGTTTAGTGCTACTAGGCTCTCCAGTTCTGAGGTCGTGCAAACTTCGGAGCCATCTTACACGTACTGTGACGTTTGCGCCATCTTGGCGGGACCCCGTGTAAATCCCCGTGTACGGAGTTTTCAAATAAAATTGACTTTCAGATGTAGTTAAAACCGCCCGCGAAAGATTCGCAATGAGGTTCGCAAAAGTACTTTTTCGCGAAAGATTTGAAAAAAGGTCTTCACTTTCATATTTTTCCTTTTTACTGACGCGTGGTAGAAGTACCAGGCAATCCTCTGGAAGAGCCGGCGCGCGGAAGTGCCCCCGCATGTCCCCACTGAAACGTTTCCTTGCCCAGCCCTCGCAGTGCGTAAGTGCGTAAAGGATTCTCCGATTCCTGTCCCCACGTAGGCGCAGCCCTGACAGCATATGTTTTATGCCTGCCAAAAAATCACCAGTGAAATTTTGCGAAAGATCCGCGAAAACTTTGCGAATGCGCCGCTAAAGTCGAGGTTCCAAGCTTGAGGCCCCCCAACAGCCCCAACATTCCCCGAGCTGCATAGCCCTGTGTTGGTTGCTGGCGCGAGGATTGGGTTGAGTTGTGCCTGACTCTATTCTAAGCCTCCTCCAGGATTGAGGATACTGTTTGTCGATCACAGATGTCGCGCAAGTAGACATGGTATTAAGACCATGTTTCGCGATGAGGCCGCGAAAGATCCGGGAAAAATCCGCGAAAAATTGCAGTTCCATCATGAAAAAATATTGATCAGTGACCATTTATGTGTATATATATATGTACAAACAATGTTTAAGATACATTCAGTTAATGTTTTCAATCACAGCCCTTGGACAAGGTGCTGACACGGGCAGCGCAAGACGTGCGGGTCCTCGTGATCAAGTTCGCAGATCGCTTGCACAACATGCGCACGCTGGAGAAACAAAACTTTCCTGATTCATGACAATGAGTGCAACTTTGTCGAACATTTTCCATTTTGTTGCAGCCGGGTGCCTGTGAGGAGCACATGCCATCGTCAAAGCAGCGCAGGATTGCTTTGGGCCTAAACCGCAGAGTTGTAATGTGCCATGAGAGTTGCGTGGCAAGGAACCGATGTTGACTCTGCAAGTTGCGGTCCGACATGATCAGCAAATGCCCAGACATATAATATGCCGAGTCATCTCCCGAGGCCGAGGAAACAAGAGCTGTTTATGTTCCTCTAGCCGAGCGATTTGGGGTTCATATTTGGAAGACGGAGCTTGAGGAGCGGTCCAGGGACAGAAAAACGAACAAAATAATGTCGCACTTTTGTAGCTGCTCTACGTAGGAATTGGAGTCTTTAAGTCAGTTTTTCAAAGTTGAAACTTTGCATTCTTGTTCACTGCTGTTGTGTTTCGCTATGTTGGATTTCGCGATAGTTGAGTTTGTGACAATGCTTTGGCCTCTGTTGCAAGATCTATTTTATTCAATTTTTTGGGCTGGGTAGCCAGATTTGTGATTTGTAGCGTGGTTTTTGTTTTTGCTAGGACCAGGCCCATATTTTACCTTCAAACCGCCACATCCGTACCCATACACCCCTCGCACAAGCAGTGTCCTCTGGCGCGCTCCCCCTCCGTCGGATGGGGTCGGCGGATATATACCCTTTTGCTTCAGGGTACTTTGGGATCTCTAACGACTCAGACAGTGGTATTCTTGTGCTGCTGAACTCGTCAATTGGGAGGCACACGCTGGGCAGGGTACCAAGTGTCAATCTTCAGTGGATTGGTGTCTTGGAATGGGCAGGAGCTGTGCTGCAGATATTTGAACGGCTTTGCTTATGAGGCATGATTTCTGTGCCAATCCGCAGAATTTGAAGGTAACTGCCACCCTCCGCAGAAGCTAGTAACAGCTAGTAAAAGTCTCTCAAAATCCAGGAACTGTTTCGTGAAGCCGATCTCTTTTGTGATGTAGTAGCTCACCTAATTACCTTAAGAATGAGAACTATTGTATAACACTATTGTGCATATACACATCTCTTTGTTTCTTGATTTTCTTTGTCCCAATTCACAGTGTTTCATGATGTTTCATGCTTGGTCCTTTTTGCAGGAGGTGTTGGAAAAAAACCAACGCGCCAAGGCATCTCGGCACAGAACAACACTTCAAAAGTCACCACGTTGTCACTACGTCCATTTGCACCATACACAAAGGTTCCCTGTGGTTGGACAGGCTGCAAGACCATGTCAAAAGGATTGGAAAGACAGTTGTTGTAAGGTTGCCAGATTTCGCAATCGCCGATACATTGAACAGTATATCCGAACAATGCTCGCCGGATACTCATTATCAAAGTCCGCATGTAAACCAAGACATTCCTTGCCTTGCCAAGGTTGAAATGCAAGTAGACTCCGTTTTGCAGATCTCCCTCAGTGAGGAACTGACCTCAGAATTTGTCGCTGTCTTTTTCCCCCATGCTTTTCATGTCAAATCATGAAGTGAGTGGAACAAGGAACCACCTCACACGCAATTGCGACGGTGGGCAGAGCACCCTGAAACTGACAGTCCTCAGCCCATTCCTCGTGTGCGCATTGTCACCAAGGCTACAGACATGCCCTGTCTTTATACAGTTGCAGACATGCAAGGCTGAAACCCACCAGGGTAGGCCCAGGTTTGCACTTTGCCAGGACCGGGATACTTGCTGGGCGTGTCTTGGGAGAATTCACTCAATCTTGCCGCCCATGCCTGTACCTTGAAACCTCAAGCCAGACCCCAAGACGTTTGTGCAATGTGCTTGAGCAGCCTTTTTGAGGCCGGGACGTTTGCGAGATTACATTTCTTCACCGAAGGACACAACAGACATTGGCATGGATCAGAGCAGAGACGCCTCGTCTGAGGAGAACCTCTACATGTGCTTGCACACCACTGTCCTCCTGGATGGCACAGCTGTAGAGGTTAGAAATTGGTCGTAGACACCACTGCAACTAGCAGACAAGAGCGGCCTGTGGATAATAGGAGCAGGCAGCGCACCACCATAGAAGCCCCGCTTATGCTGCAAGAAGCCAGCTGAATGGGTCACATTGATAAGAGTTCAAACTGTAAGTGATTCAAGCTTGGGTGACGTGCAGGTTTACATCCTCAGCTCAGAGATGGATTGGGTGGCAGAGTTTGGAGTTGGTGCATATTGGCGCCACAACGAGGATTGTTGTGGGTTTGATGAGCAGTGAACATACGCTCGAGCGTTGCATGGCAGAGAATTTTCTTATTAGTTGAATGTGCACTGTATTGCTCGACATAAGCGCCGCCCCTTACAAGCTACAGCGCATGTCGTTTTTCCGCAACAGCAAAGCTTTAGGGGTCTTCAGCCATAGTATAGACTTGAGCAGGTTCCGGAGCAGGTTCCGAGGAGGTTCCGGAGGCGGTTGTGGAGCACGTTCTGGAGCAGGTTGCGGAGCAGGTTCCGGAAGAGCAGGTTCCGGAGTGGTTCCGGAGCAGGTTCCGGAGGAGGTTCGGAGCGGTTTTGTGAAAAGGTGCCTGAAGCTTGATGGTTCGCGACATATTTTTTCGAGAACACAGAACATGTTTCCAGCTTTTCGGGACTTTCCCTGGGGATTATCTTCAACGGAAAGGAGTAGAGCAGATGATGCTTGTATGATGAGTTTGCTTCAATGCAACTGTGGGCCTGCGAGTGCAAAGGCCTCAACTCCGATGTACAACAACAGTATGGTGAGAGAGGTGCTGTACCCAAGCGCCTCTTAGAGGCACAGGCAATCTTCTCGCAGGAGCTGCAAGGAAGTCCACAGATAAAGGTCACAGACTCAGGGCACAGGCATCAGAAAGGGAACTGTCGCATGGAAAAGGAAAGGTTCCACTTCTAGTCAGGTATGCTACTCGGTGAGAAAGAAGCCCGCGCAAAAACGACCCCTCGAAAGCGAAGCAGCAAAAGGATAGCCGGAAAAAACAAAAAGGCAAACAACATCATAACATGCAAACACGGTTTCACTACACGCGTGGCTTTAGACCGTTGGTGTGCAGAAAATTGCCGGAATTGCTTATGACATTTGCAGCGGTTTGATTATCAACGTTTCTTGCAGGAGCTCCAGAACACGGACACTGGGCGTTCGCTGCTCGCTGCTCTACATTCCTCCTGGATTTTGCAGGTCTACCGTTTCTTTTTCAAATTGTTTTGAGCGCGCAGCCTCGCTTCCTTGCCCCTCAGGCAAACCAGTCTTTGACCCACAGCCTACAAAGTTTGGAGGTGCAAAGTGCATTGTTTTGCGCTGCATAATGAGCTGCGTGCTGGAAGTGCTTTGCGCTGCCTATGCCAGCACTGGCAATGCCTTTCACGTTTCACTGATGTGTTTCAGGTTTAGTGTGCTTGTAATTTCATGTTTTGCTTCTGAACCCCGCTAATTTGCGCAAAAGGCCCTGGAGATGCGAACTAGGATTTCCCAGCCCAACCGCTTTGTGTATCCAATTGTTGATGTCAACCGGTACTTTTTGGTGCGAGAGCTGCAAGTTGTAATTTATATAGCAGTCGTTAGGTTTCGCAACCGCAGTCAGCCACAGAAACAATACCGAAAGCGCATGTTAAGAGAACATCAGCAAATACAAAGTACTATATAACCATTGTTTTGCTTTCGGCCGAAAGTGTTGATCCTTTCTCTCCTAGTGCCACGCAACACCGTACAGCCTCATCTATCTCTCTCACCGTTTTCCCCCACATTCCAAGAGCTATTGGGGTTCTTACTTCAACTCCCCCCGGTGCCTGTGTGCGCTTTGGAGCATAGGTGCTGGTTCTGCTGCAGGGTGCAGCTGCCAAATGTGTGCCTGGAGCACGGATGCTGGTGTCGCTGCAGGGTGCCGCTCGAGCGGTGTGTGCATTGGAGATTGGGTGCTGCTGCCGCTGGAGGGCGCTGCAGAGTGCCGCCAGGTGTTTGTGGCAGTGTGCGCTTGGGAGCCTGCGTGTGGGTGGTGCTGCGCGAATTTATTTAACCGCCGCTGGCGTGTTCCGCCGTCTTTCCAGGGATACAATGTATAATATAATATAACAGTCTTCGGAGAAAGATACAGATCAGACAATATAACATAGGAGAAGGGATGCAATCTACAATAGAATATAACATAGTAGAGAGGGGGGGGGGTGAGCAAAAATCCGCGCGTAGGGGAAAGACTTACAACACAACAGCAACAGCAACAGGAACATCCACAGAACACGCCGGCTACAGCCGGCGGATTTCTTTCTATCTATGCTGGCGTTATTTTTCTTTTTCCAAAGGCATAGGATGTACACTGGGCTTGAATGGCGTCTTGCTGCGCTGGGAATTTTGGTTTCGGCCTCAACCCGTTGGCAGAAAATCGCTTTGAAGGTTGGAGGAAGCGTGCCGACGTGTGCAATTCCAAGCCCAATGACTTTGCAACCCCAAATAGTGATCTTGAGCTGAGGCAGGTGTGGAAGGGAACATTGTGAGTGGTTCTGCCTTCAACTTTCTAGCGCTTTAGGACGATCCCAGGCCAAATGACCCCTTCCAATCACTTCGGTGCGATCAGGAACTCAAAGTTTTAAGCCATTGATAGGGGCCCTGGTAATACGGAATCCAGGGAAGGGCCCTTGTGAAAAGGCCTACAGGCTCGCGTGGCCAACTTACTCACCCCAACTCACCCACACTTACTCACACATGGCCCAACCTGCGAGCAGTTGACACCTTCCCGTGAAGTTGGGCTAGTGACAACCTCGTCCTTCCGGCATACTGGCAAGTTCACTTTGCCTGTGATCCAACGTCTTTGCCTTCGACTCCGGCCTGATTGTGTTCTAAGACGGCATCTTCAAAACATTGCGTTGCTATGAGGTCAGCAAGGGTTACAGCCGCTACAAACATTGGACCAGTGGCAAGGAGGACCTTTGATGCCTTCGAACTTTATAGGGACACGATTGTGTCACCCACACCAACCTGGTTCTCAGAATCTTACCATGAATTGGCGACCCGAGCCAGCGCTGCTGTTGGACCTGCGCCTTTTTGCAAGCGCACAACTTCCTGCCATGGCACTTACCAGCTCAAGAATCTTTAAGAAGCTGTCAACACGAAGGGCAGGGTTTGGTCGCAGCTGCACCTCCACTGCTTTCTGCTGCTCCGCATAGAACCTTTGAGTTTGGCTGTGCCTGTGCCATTTCCTCCTCATACCTTGCCTCCTCCACCTCACCTCGCCTTCACCTTCACTTCACCCTGCCTCACCTCGCACACCTTCACTCACGCACCAACTCAACCCACACAAAATCAACTCACTTCAACTCAACTTACGCGTGAACCACTTGCAAGCCCAAAAAACTTGATGTCGAAGTTCCACACTTGCCTTCCGAGATTGCCTTTGTTGGTGCACCTCAGCTGCTGCCCAAAAAGCTCGAAATTTAGATGTACAAATTTTGGGCTTGTTGCTTTGTCAGATCTTCGCATATGTTGGTGAATAGCTCTTGCCTTGCGTGCGTCATATCTCCATTTTGATTCATCGCCTGCCTCCTCACCTTCCTCCTCATCAGCGTCTACTTTAGAACACCAACATCACACACTTAAGAGTGACCCATTCGACTGATTGCCGCCAAGCCCTGAAAAAACACCTAGGTGATCAAGAGGCCAAAATAGATAGGGTCAAGAAAAAAAACAAACGCAGCGGGGTTCAAACGTGAAAATTCAAAAGGAGTCAAAGAGCTCAACGGTGTCTGACCGCGGAATGCCAAGGATCCGAAGATCCAAATTCAAGACGTTCCAAGACGTTCCACCCCTCTCAGAGATACAGTGCATATCTTCCGACCTCAAAGCCTGAATGTTACAGTGGGATGTACCTACAAAACGCCATAACTGTCAGCAGGTACTCTCACTCAGCACTGCCCATCCAACAGCCTACAAAGGTTCGGGGCGCGAGGCCAGTGAGGCAGGACCAGGTCAGGCACAGTGACCGGAGGTACACAAAGATTGCCCGTGGAGTGTTCATGCTAGCACTTTGCGTGGGCGTGTTGCCCTCGTTGTACCAGCTTCAGCGTCTGTGCCTTTGGGCCCCCGGAGCAACAAGCTTGACTTGGCATGCTAAGCTTTCAATCTAGGAGCCTGAATGCAGCGAATTTGGGTGGGATGCAGCGTGTTGCGGTCCGGGTCCGAAATAGGGTGCTACAGGCATACACGTGCATGTGCACTCAGGCAACAAAAACTACTTACTCAAAGCGACACCTTTTAAAAAGATCATTCCGGTTTTCCGTGGTGAGTCATTGGTGAATCAGACGAGAATGCCGAACTTTCTCGGATAGGCCATGGACCACTCATCGTCGCAGCACGCCCGCAAAGTTCCAAGAGATGCAAGCCTCACCGGAGCGCAAGTGCCACTTCCCAGCCATGCAAGTGGAAGGGCCAGCATTGGAATGGAATCCACGGGCGGCGAGAGAGCTGACACATTGAGTTTGAGAGAGTTCAGAGCAGATGTGGATGATGCTGCGGCTGGCTTGGGCCCAGTCGACCTGAATTTTGTCCATGAGAACAACGAAAGTGACACAACAGCGGGGCACTTAAATGTCCAGAAGACCTGTGCAACATAGACAAGACGACAGATCAATCATGTGGGCCTTCCCAGGAAGAAGATTGCCTTTTTGCTGTGCAGCCCTTGTTTTCGTCTCAGCGTGTGATTGTGCTGCTGCCATGTCAGAGCATCCAACCTGGCATTTTTAAGGCTGCAACAGATCTCCAAAGTAGCTTTCAGCTTTGCAGACAGCGAAGGCGAGTTCCAGCGTGCACACAGTTGTGGATTCCGTTTCCGTGACCGTACTCGCCTGTGCCAGGAGACGGAGATGATGTTGAGGTTGAAATCTCAGCACCTGGGGCCGCTGAAGTGATTTGCAGCTGCAATCACTTGTAGTCTACCTAGTTTTTGGCAATGTGCAAAGATTGAAGGGTGGTGGTCAGCTTCTGGAAGAACTACACCGCGCATACAGCGAGGCTACCCGTGTTTCTTGACGGGTGCGTCGAGGGAGCTAATTTTTCTTTTGGGGGTCGGCGCGCTTGAGGTTTGACTAAGCAGAGCTCTGCTGGACTGCTAAAGTCCGCTGGAGTTGTCGGATGAATAAGGTTGCTTAAATATCTGAAATATAGCAGCATATATATATATATTGTATATATATATATATATTTAAATAGTATATCATATATATATATATATACGGGTTGGCTAGGATTGGCTAGGCACATGATGCGCGGCCTCACAGCACGTGTCGGCAACGCCGTGCCATCATGTCTATACCGGAAAGGACTGGCAGAGACTCGAAGCAAGCCGGACGGAAGACTGGCAGTGTACTTGATTGCGCATCAGCAACATTTATGTGACGTATGTGTTGCCACTGTCAGATGTTGAAGTCGTGGCGTTTTCTAGTTTTTATGCGTTTACTTGTAGCTTGTCATTCTTTCTCTATGTGTTTGGCTCTTCTCTGCGGCCGTGGCCATTTCTATTTGCGTAGGAGGGCGAACATAGGATGGAAGACGTGATAGGGATGACATCCTGTCATGCCAGGGATGACATGATGTCATGCAAGGGATGACATCATGTCACGCAAGGGATGGCGGATGGCATCATGTCATGCCAGGGGCGACGTCATGTCATGCCAGGGACGACATGCCTTCTTATTGCGCATGACAGCGTGTTGCGCAGCAATGATCGTCATGTCGTTTGGGCAGCTTTGGCTGGTCCTTGCCAATCTTGCAGTCTTGCGGGCACATTCAGCTGATAGATGTTGCGCGTATTGGTGGACTCGTCTGATGTTGCGTGCTGCGGCGACAGCCGTCCGTGGCGTATAGGGCGGGCCCAAGAGCTAAAAGATGCGCGGCGCGACGCTTCGGTGCGTCGCCGCTTTCTCCTTTATTTGGACACGTGCTTTGTTTGCTTTGCCCCCGTGTTCACATGTAGCGTTGACTGGGTTCATGAGGAACGCTGGGGCCACTTCTGATTTGAGTTTTTGCAATTGGGTGAGGATTTTGGCTTCGTTTCCAGAGGCGCCCTGGCTTCAGGGTCGTTCCTCATCAGTCTTGGTCTCACAGGCCATGCTTCAAGGAAGGCCATGTCGCCATGCCGAAACAGGAACCGAAATTGCTTCTCAGTCGCCTCCCTTTTCAATGTGTTGTCGGATTCCAGCTCAAGATTGAAAGGCTTCGTTAGAGGCAGACATGTTGCAGCGTGATGAAAAAACATTTTGCAACTTTGTAGGAGACTTGGGAGGTTTGGACTGTCGCTTTTTGTGGCCTATTGTACGTGGAACGTCGGTCTATTTGCGAGGGCCTTCATTGAGTGCAAGTCGCGCAGCATTGTTTTCATGAAAGGGTATGTTTGTTTTGGGCTGCAAAGTTTGTTGTTGGAGTGGTGCAGCAGAGCTTCGCTGGTTTCCTGCGGAGGCCTTGCGGGAGAAAGTGGCCGTGTTCACTCCAACAGGAGAGTGAATGCAGTTCATAGGTTTCCGACGCAAAGGGTGACTCAGGATGAACATGAACATCGTTGCGCAGGACGCGCTTTGTATTTGCCACGTGATGCTACGCCGCTGGATTTTGCAGTTTGGAATCTAGACACCAAGAAGGCTGTATTCCCGGATGGTAATACACTCAGGGGCTGCAATCCCTTGCCAGGGACTACGGGCAGAAGCGGCATTTATTGATGGCCGTGAAGCCCCGTTGAATGCAAAACTCAGAGAGGCCAGAGGAGAGTTGGCTTCAGACTTGCTTGTGTGCGTTGGTTCAAGGCTGTCAATGGTTAACAAGTGAAATGAAGACCTCTTCTCATGACAGATATAAATAGACTTTGTTGGTTTGTGTTGAACGCAAACTTGTTTTTTTGCGAGTTTGATGAGTGCTCGCTCGAACTGGTCCAATCTGAGGGTCAAACTGTCCTTGTGCACCTTCACGATGGCGAGCAACCTCCTCCTTTGGAGTGGGCTGGTGTGCATTTGAGGTCCCGCGCTGGGCCATGCGCACACTCAAGCAAGAAAAATTTGTGGAAGTGGTAAAGTAGTCAATGTAGTCAATTATATACTTTGAAAACATACTACGAAAACCGCTAGTCAACGATTCTGCAAGGGACATAGAGCATCGAAATTTAAGCGATTTCTTATTACCACCGCCACCACCACCACCACCGCCGCCGCCGCCGCCACTGCCACTGCCACTGCCACTTCACCACCACTACCACAACCACGACGACCACGACAACCGCGACGACCTAGGACGCCTAAAGCGGACCTCAGCAATGGCCAAGAACAACATGTAACAATCTTTTCACCCGAAGCACAAGCGGAAAGGAACATGTGCAGGTAAGTTTTCACCTTCGCGCCGTCGTGTCGGGTCTTTGTTGGCCAGTGCGGACAGAAATGAGTTCTTGCTCCCCGCGTTTGTGCAATGAGAACAATATTAAGTACAATCGATTCAAAAGAGAAGGTGCCCGTCGGAAAAGCGTTGGACACACTTACACAGAGACAGTGTCAGGACGAAACTATTGTCCGGCGCAGGTATTTGCGAACTGCTCGCGCCAGGGCGGCTCTGGTGGACACAAGGCACGAGCGACAATGTACGTATATAGTCAGTTATATAGTGCTCAGTGCAAGTGTGAGTTCTTGCTATTTTTGCAGGACACGCATGCTCTCAACAGAGGTTGCGATCGCGCAAGGAGACTTGCTGGAGAGGTATTTGTTGGAAAATTGACTGCAACACAAACGCATGTGAGAGAGGATAGATGCCAAAGTGGGCTCTCAAAATATCACTGAGTGACGCCGCAATTGTATACAATTCTTTTCTCTGCGACAAGAACCCTTGAGAGAGAAGAGCTTAAGAGTTAGTGTACGCGCAGGCCGCGATGCCCTTTGCAGGGAATTGACCCTTCACAGCACTACGCCGAGCCTTCACTTGGTGTGGGAACATTCTTGCAAGATGTTTTGCCTTGAAAGGCTTGGATCTATCGCTGCAAAATGCGCTGGGCGACGAAGTCTTGACAGCTCTCGGCTGCGGGCTTAGACCAGATAAAATCCGAAGGTACATGGGTTCTTTGTAACCCAGCATTGTTGTTTGTTGTATTGATTTGGAACGAAAGAATGGCGCATACTGTATACCGTACACTAGTCCAATCTATCTAAGCTGCTTCAATTAGCATTTACAGCGGGGATTGGTTTTACCAGCTATCTCCGAAACAGCTCAGGGGCACGTTTCAAGAGAAGTAACGCATTGAAGTCGATACTTCCTGTACATATCTCTTCGGTTCTGCTGATGGACCGCAGGACTCTACACTCTATGCATGCATGTTTGCACACACAAAAGAAGTGGAAAAGAACACCAATGGAAGAACGGACATGTTGGAATGTTGCTATGCGCTCTCGCTTGTGATCGCGTGAAAATAAGCGCATGCCTGGTAAATCTCAGAAGTGTCAACCACAAGCTGCAGAGTGAAAGTCAGGATGTTAATTCACCGGCGTTTTAAGCTCAACGAGAGCCACAGGCGTGCAGCAATGAAGTCAAAAGCGAGGCATGCAAAAAAATGAAAACCGGTGCAAAAAAATGAAACCAAGAGCTACTTTGGTGTACAGCAAGCAAATTGGAGCTAATTTTTTACAGCAAAGCAGTCAATGACTTTATGCGGAGATATACTGTATGTCAAGAGCTGCGCCATGTCAAGCAACCAAGTCAGCAACTCCATTTGTAGAACTGCGGAATCAAGAGGTGGAAGAGTAAAACACGCATACAGTACGTAAGAGTAGAACCTGTGTTTGCCTCTATTGGCTTGAAGCGGAAGAGTCTAAGCGTTCAGAAGGCCCTTTTGAAGGCTCCTTTTCCAACCTTGCTTTTGCGGGCCCTTAGTGTGTCTCAGCCGGCTGCAGTGAACTGCTCCAGTGACAGCTCAACACTCCTCCTTGCCTTCAGACGCGGAGGTGGAACATCAAAGATATACTTGTTCTATCAACGCGTATTGTCAATGATGGCAGCGGTTTGAATACAGACTTCTTTGACTTCTTTCTTTCATTTCCCTAGCTAAAGCTTGTAGTTGCCGCCGGCTCACGACTGGTTAAGGATAAGGCAATGTGCGTTCGGTGCGGGTGGATTGAACGTGAGGACCTCCATTTGCTTCTCGTAGGCTTGGAATGTTCTACATTCCCATCACAAGCCACCATGCAAAGTAAACGTGCAAAGTGCCGCTAGCTGCTCGAACACTCCCGTTTTGTTTTGACGGGCGGTTCCTTGTTGAGCTCGTTTTTCCCCTGCTGATGGCTTTTCTTGCACCGCTCTGTGGTCGGTGTGAGGCCATAGCTCCTGGTGAACTGCCGCAGCTAGCCCCGGTACCACGTCCGGGAAGTGGTTCTTTCTTTGGAGCGCGGGAGGATTGCATCTTTCACGTTTCGACGAATTGCGGCATCAGTTCCACCGAAGCCCTGTTGATCTCATTTGTCACACGGAGACCCACTGTGTCGAGGACTGTGAGTGGACTGGTCGTGATTGGCGTTGCGCCCATAGTGACTCAAGGTCTAACAAAATAGCAGGGCTGCTCCTACTGTTGCGGAAGTCTTTCATTCAGGCCAATAGCGTCACAAGGCAGGTCAAGATGGCTGGACGTTTGATGCATGTTCGTTTTTACCATTCCAACCAGGCCTCTCCCACCAGCCTTGCCCTAAGAGCTGATTTGCGCCATGTGCCTGCTCAGGTTACATTGCCTGACTTTCGAAGGCAAAGATTCCAATGAATTGCTCAACCTGTCTAAAGCACGCAAACTTTGCGCCCTCAACCATCCTTAGGCCCCACCTTTGTCATGGACCAGGTGGGAGTCCAGGACAGACTTTGCATTTGCCCGCCTTTGCTCTCCTGACCATGAATCCAACACCATGGTTTATCACTGACAATGGTGGGCTCCTTGCTCGCGCAGTGGTTTCGTAAGCTCAATACACCCAAGGCCACTACCATCTCTGTGAACGCAGCTGCGTGGCCTTTCGAACCTCTGATCTGTTGTCGGCGCTTTCGCTTTTGCGATCGCTTCCCTCGCCAAATTTAGGAACCCGTGGCCTCGTTGGCCCAGTCGGAGGCAATCCGTGCAATATCCCTGAGGCCAGTCTTTGCAGTTGCATTCTCTCTTTAGTGCTTGGAAGTGTTCAGTTCGGTTCCGTTGTCCAAGCAGCGCCGCAAACACTCGAAACAGATCCACCAGGACCGTGTTCATGCGTGACCTTATGCAAGAAGCCGTTCACGCGGCCCACGCAGGCTTATCAACGTCCAACCAATCTCCCATACCTGGAACCCCAATAGCTGGCATCCTGACCTAGTTGCCAATGCTCATAAGTCGTGGATCATACGTACCCGCCTCAAAACAGCACCGGTGCTCCTACAAGAGACCAAATGGACGCCAGTACAACTTCAGCATCTAGCACACGCATGGCCTGATATCAAGGTCGCAGCAGCTCTTGCGAAACATGATCCGAATCCGCAAGCTGGCGTTGCCATCCTCGTCCCCCCTGGATGGATTATCAGCGAGCACAAAATACTGGTCGACCACTATGCCATTGCGGCTTGTGTCTGCTTCCAGGCGTGTTCAATCTGGTTAGTCTCAGTGTATCTGCCTCCTCAAAGTCCAAGAGCCTTTGTCGAGCAAGTTTTTCAAGCCATACATACACTGGAAGATCACCCAGTCTTTGACCCTCAAGCCTGGGAAGACTTCCTTGGGCAACTTGGGTGCACTGATGTTGACCCTACATATCCCACCTATAGTTACGGCCAACAGGAATCGCCCCTCGACCGCTTTCTTGTTCCTAGTCTCTTTTTGGACACTGCTCAATTACATGCTCGTGTCAGAGGGAGGTATCGCATCGATACTTGTCATCACAAGGTTGTTACGGCCTTCCTGACTATGAAGCCTCGACTCAGTCCACATCCGCAGTCGGAAAAGCATCACACCCATCTCCTCCGACTGCCCTCCTAACGCGCCACTGTCAGTGTATACAGGGCTCTGGTATAGAGCTGGTGGAGAGACTCTTCAATGGTTTTTAAACAATTGTCGCCTCTCAAGAAACTTTATAAGCTCCTTGGTAAAGGCCAGTCGCTTGTCCGCCTTGGAGAAGGTGACCTGCGGCACCTCTACGAGCAGTGTGGGCTTGAAGAGTTGCGGAGGGAATGGCCTAAACAGCGCAATGCTTCCTTGATCCCGACTACAGTTGTTGCCACAGCACTCCAAGCTGCTGAAATAGCAACGGCTACCCTTACTATCCTTCCTTTCGGTCGACATTTTTCGAGTCTGTAGCATCTTCCCAAGTCTGTGAAGAAAGGCATTTGTCACATGCTGGGCTCTCTCATGCAATGGCCCTGCCCTCCCTGCCATCACACATTGCCCCCACGTGCCATTCACACACTTGGAACTTGTCCATGCATCGTCCAAGCTACTATTTGTCCATGCATCGTCCAAGCTACCATTTGGCTCCGCCCTTCGTCCGAGGTGGCGCTCTTCGACATCAGGCCGCCCTCATCGCTATCGCTGAGCAGGATCTGCAGCCTGCTTAATTTTTTGGATGTCCAAGCCCAACAAGCCGCCTTGCCGTCCTGACGCTTTCAGGCTAGCGCTGCTTGAGCAAATAGGGAAATGCATCCTTAATTTCATGGCCGCTAAAGCTAGACAGGCTGTTCTCCGACGTGCTCTGCTGCGTGTCACTCAGCACTATCGACAGGCTCGAGGCTCGATTTGTACCCCGCCAGGAATCCACGCAATATGGCTTATGGCTTCGACCGTGTCCTTTCCTGACATCGTTGGTGTCTTCCAACTCCTGGTCGACCTGTCACGTGCTTATGACTCGTTGCCCATGTTGTGCTTGCTCGAAAGCCTTCGACGTCTTTGAGCGTGAAAAACTGAAGGCGGCTGAGGTAGTTACTGGCTTGAAACCATTCGCCAGGGCAAAGCCAAAACCTACCAGAACTTTATTTCCAGTCCAGACTTTTCTCATCATTTTTCCCTGACTTTTGAAATTTAGCAACGTCTGAGAGTTCCTGGCTCACCGCTCGATTTGTTGATGCACTGGCGCATGGCATGAGTTACCTTGTTGAGACCGGCAGTCACCGCTGTTCCCACCACACTCGCTGTTGCAGCACCCTTTCTATGGTCAGCGGCCAGTGCTTTCTCATTGAACTTGCCAGTCGTGCTTCCACGCCATGGGTCCTTGAACGTCTCAATGTTTATGCAGACGGTTTTCGCGCCGCTGCTGTCATGCCGCTGCCACATTCACCTCTGAACATAAGTGCTGCGGGCCTTCAACTTCTTTGTGTTGTTGGATCTCCAAGAGTTTGGCCTCCATGTCAACGTGTCAAAAACTGTTGTTGTCGTTGCACTCAGGGATGCCTCAAATCCAAGTTGCGGAGCCGCCTCACCACCAAAAAGAGGGATGGCTGGTATTTGGACAGACCGCAGGCCTCTGGCCCTCCCACCTTGATTACAAGAATCTGCCCGCGCCGAAGGTGCTGAGGCGTTGGGTAGGCTCGCGCAAACCGCAAGATAGCTGCTTGATTAATCGATTAATCCGCTTATACGATCAGCTGTAGCTTGGGGGGAGCCCTTTGCTTTTTGGGGAAATGCGGTGTTTGCGAGATTCTTTTTTGTTTTTTGAATATTGATGAAAACTGATATGGTTTCGAACCAAACGTTAGGGATGCCGGTTATGCCGTCCGGGGGAGACTGCGTGATCGACATCGCGGACGCGTGTTCGTCCAGGTAGGCTGCCCGACAGAAGTTTCTTCTTAGGGTCCAGGTGATCGATATCGTGTCCACCGGATTTTGTGGGGGAAGCAGATGGTAGCGCTATTCAGCTGGTGTATCTGGAGCAGCACGCCGTTCTTTTTTTTCGAGCCAACGGAGCTGCTCATGATGATGACCAGTGTTGCACCCCTGATAGTGCACGCCTTCCAAAGCTATTGTTGCAAGGGAGGTACGCAGGGAAGCTGCAAGAACCCTGTGTGAAAAGGCTGGTGAGTAGAGAGGGCCATACGATTGTAGTGCTGCAGCAAATCTCGGATGTGGGCGAGTCAATCGAGTGAATCGGCCCTTTTTTTCAGCGGTGGCACCCTGACTGTTCAAGTCAACGCTTCTTCACGCTTGAGCCCGGTCAACATTTCTTCCCGGCTCCGAGAGCACTGCCGACCCGTATCCTCATGGGGTGCTAACGGCGCATTTTCCCTTTGATCTGCGCGGGCGGCTTCTACCGCGAAGCGGCGTGAACAGTCACCAAATCGGTGTATCTTGAGCTGTTGTCAGCTACGCGTGTTTTGAAGATCAAACTCTTGCGCGCAGATTACATGCCAATTGGATCACTTTCAAAAGTCACTTGTTCCAGCAATCCAAGCAGACTGATCCAATCCCACACGCGTGGATTGAAGCTCTCGGAGCGCTACCTGAACAAGACCTGGGACTAAATGTTCTCTACGCGGTAAGTGCATCCCACGCATGCAGGAAGCCGTTTCAGATTGCCAAGCCAGTCGCCGCGAACGGGTCGCAAGACTCAAATGGCTTGTGCTACCTTCCTTGAACTTTGGTGTCTGGCCACTCAGGGTGATGCAGGCATTCATCGTCCCCCACGCGTTTTGAATGTCCACTATATCCGGCCACCTTACATACGGATGAGAATCTCCAGCGACGGTTGTGGCGTGTACATGGTGTTCGGGGGGGTGCCTTTGTTGCGGAGACCAAGACACCGCCATCCTTGCTGCAAGCCAAGCCAGCGCAGGAAGGTCGCACTTGGCGTCAGATTGCCGTGATCTACGTACGCTTTCAGAAAATCTGGATGACGCAGTGCTGCAGAACAACAATCAAGTCAAGTCACAGTCTTCTTTGACATTGCGCCCAAATTCGAGACACTGCTCAGAACTCGTCAATGGGATCGCCTACCGCAATGGCTCAACGTTGAGCGCCCTCCGTCGCTATCTGTGGAGAGAGACTGGACATTCATGACGCGTGTCACGCGTCAGCGCCACTAGGAATGTCATGGACTTCAGTTTCTTGAGATTTTTGCAAAGTTGGGGCAGCCACTGCGTTCAGCATTGATTCCTTGCCCCTGTGCCTGGCCACTGAAATGGAAGACCCTGCAGATCCTGCGTTTGGCGTTGCGCCCTGTTTGCTCAATCACCACTGCGCTGTCTTCGCACAGCTTCTGTGGCAAAGCCTAGTCCGGCGATTTCGACGCTGGACGGATGCGCGCGCTCAGCTGACGGAGGCCTGGGGCCACTGAAGCTCCAACAGTGACCCCACCTTCGAAGGGGCGTAGACAGACCCTCCAGCTGCTCCTCACACTACGTCGACGAAGCCTTAGCGCAATTGCATCAAGCAGCGCAGACGGCCCCGCCCAAGCAGCCTTTGAGGCCCGCTTTAACAAGCGCCTTCCACCAACACGAGCCAAGGGCACTCCGGACAGTCCAATCTGAAAGTCAGCTCTATACAATCACAAGTGCTACTGGAGGATGGCTCATGGCCCTCCACAACATGGTGCCCGACAAGAAACGACTGGTGGTTGATCATGGCTTCGGGAGCAGGCGTGCGATCCCTGGCTTCGGACATGAGCTCCACGCTGATGACAACCGGGTACCGCAGTTGAAGCCTCTCCCACCGTCAGTGTTCTCTTGGCAACTTGCTCTCAATGCTGCTGGGCTGAAAGCTCTCGCTGCGACGACCGGCGTGCTGACAGGTCGAAAAAAGCAAGCGCAAGAGACAAGGTGAACAATCAAGAGGCCAAGTGCCAATTACAGGCACCAACATCGTGAACAGATGTTCGGCGCCGCCCACCATACCAATAACAGACGAAAATCGAATCATTGTTATACAAGCCTGTTGAAGAGACATAGACATCATGAGACGCGCGGCCCCGGCCTGAAAGAGGGTTCAGGGTTCAGGGTTCAGTGCTCCATGATCAGAGTAAAACCTTATCAATGAGGGGCGAAAGCCTTGACCGTGCTCATGCTCCTTCTTGCTTGCTCGCGCGCGAACCAACTAACAACTGAAAGGCCATCGTAGAGCGCTTGTCCTGGGACACATTAAGCCTTGCTTGCGATAATGACATCTGCTGTAGCCTGCGAAGCATGACTTAAATTAAAGGCTTTTCTGCTTTCGTGTTCATTGCTTCCTGTATAGACTTTTTTTCGAGGGTCATTTATTGTAGGTCTTTTGAATGATCTCTGTTGCTTAGAACGGTGTGGCTCGAGTGTAGGGGTTCATAGATCTAGGGGCTTCTAGTTCTAGGTTCACCCAGACTATTATATGCAGTAGTATATCATTGTGGAGGGATTTTATGCACGTATTTCTGAAACAGTGAAACCTGCGAGTATAGCTGCAACTAACATAAAACTAGCCAAGGAGAGAGGTTGGGGCACATTATTGAGAGGGGTTTGATCAGGTGCACGGATTATGTTGCAGAATCAGAAGTGCTGCCGGGTTGTAGTGCGTGTGGTTGGCGCTTGGGACTCATGTGCTTTTCGCACCTCACGCCGGCTTCCCGCATGAGGACGTGGTGCCTTGCCAGTAGAGTTGGTCAGCGGGCAGTTCTTAGCCGCAAGGCTATTTTTTGCTTGGGGACTTGAATGTTGACATTTTTGCAACATTCTTTTTTTAAACCTTTGAGCAAGTCTACGTTGGCCAGGCTCCACATGCCGCTGGGAGATGCTAGCTATGAGTGACCGCCCTCGCAGCATGTGTTGTGGCACAACTGAACATCCACTTCTCTTTGCAGAACACCCAGCAATATTGTCAACGCAACAAGACGGAGAATGAAGAAAACTTGCCGCATTCCTTAGGTGTGAAGCAGATCAAGCAAACTTCGCGCATTGTTTGCTAGTGCAGGGTTGGATGACCAGTTCCCTGACAGGCTTCGGCCCCAAGGATTTCCAACTGCCTGTACCTTAAGCCTTACACCACGTGTTTCTGCTTTGTGGTCAGCAAGGTACACTGGAAACGCAACCATGGTCTCCTCAGAGAGCAAGGCTCAGCCTTCACGATCTCTGTTGAACCAACTAAGTGTAAAAGGTGCCCGAGGCTTGCTCATGCGTTGCCATCTTTTTTGCTTTCGCCCGTCATTTTGCCAATCTATATTTTCTTTGTTCCGGAAAGCGCCTGCAAAGGGTTCTCCTTCAAGAACGGCTACCAACTTCAACGGCCTAAGTATCATCTTTTTCATTGTCATAGAAATCACATTCAGAATCATCTTCTTGATTTATCACGAGCATCATCGTTATTAAATTAACATCATCATAAACACTAGCAGCGTCATCGCCAGTTGATGGGTCAGGTTTTCAACTTCAGTCCAGGCCCACGCTCTAGGAGCTGACATTTCTAGGAAACGCCAGCTTCTTGAGCTCAAGAGGAGTGAGATGAGTTAATCTCTCTATTTTGCCGCTGCATGTCCGAAAGAGGATTGCAACTCGCAAGCGGCGCTAGGCCGCAATAGATTCATCAACGATCATCTTATTTCTCAGCTCTCCACGTCATTGGGTAGAGTGGGGCTCCCATCCTTTCCTGCTCTGGCGCACGCGTAGCGCCTCAGTATCGCAAGAAATACCCCTTGCTAGAAAAGTGTCCTTCAAGTATCCGGACATGAGTGATGAATGTTAAACACCCTGCGCCGTGGACCTGTGTGTTGGTTTTGTGGGTGCTGCTGCCGTGCTGGTGCTGGTGCAGGTGGCTCTGGATCGGCCGATCGGCGTTTTTGTTTCTGGATCGGCATTTTGGTTTTGGAGGTACTTGCTGCTGCCGTGCTGATGCTGGTGCAGGCGCAGGTGCAGGTGCACCTGCTGGTTGTGGATCATTGTGGCTCGGCGTTTTGTTTTTGTGGGTGCTGCTGCAGAGCTGATGCTGGCGCAGGCGCAGGCGCTGGCTCTGGATCGGCGTTTTGGTTTTGCAGGCGCTGCCGCTGCCGTGCAGATGCTGGTGCAGGCGCAGGCGCTGGCTGTGGATCTGCGTTTTGGTTTTGCGGGCGCTGCTGCCCGTGCTGATGCTGGCTGTGGAGCGGAGTTTTGGTTTTGTGGGTGCGGCTGCCGTGCTGATGCAGGTGCAGGTGCAGGTGCTGGCTCTGGATCGGGTTTTGCGGGCGCTGCAGGTGCTGGTGTTGGTTCTGGATCGGCGTTTTTGTTTTGCAGGTGCTGCTGTGCTGATGCTGGTGCAGGTGCAGGTGCTGGTTCTGGATTGGCGTTTTGGTTTTGCAGGTGCTGCTGCCGCGCAGGTGCTGGCGCAGGTGCTGGGATGGCATCGTGGCATGGCAGGGGCGACGTCCAAGGATGATATCGTCATGTTATGCCATGGATGACGTCATGTGACATCCATGCCCAGAATGACGCATGTCACGCCAGTGATGACATCGTGTCATAACAGCGATGACATGTTGTCACGCCAGAGATGACATCGCGGCGTGGCAGGGACGACATCATGTCACGCCAGGGTTGACATCGTGTCATTGCAGGGACGACATCGGCGTGGCAGGGGCAATATCCTGTCGTATGTTCTTATTGCCTTGTGTGTTTGCATAGTTTCCTTTCGTGGACGACATGGTGTCATGCCAGGGACGACATCGTGCCATGCCAGGGATGACATGCTGACATGCTGTCACGCTGCGTATGACAACGTGTTGTGCAGCAATGATCGCAATGTCGGCCAGGCATCCTTGGTTGGTCCTTGCCGATCCTGTGTTGGGCAAAGTAGGCGCGTTCAGCTGATAGATGTTGCTCGCGTGGTGTGCTGCGGTGACAGCCGTCCGTGGCGTGAAACGTATGGGCCCGCTATCAGCTATTTGTGTTCTTATTTCAATTACAGGAAGAGCTGCGTTTTCGAGCCTAGGTGCTGGCGCCGCTGCTGTTTGCGCGAGGGAGCTTGAGTGCTGGCGCAGTTGCCGGGTGCTACTGCTGGACGTGCTCTTGTGGAACTTGTGGGTGCTGTTGCCGCTGTAGGGCGCCGCTGTTGTGTGCACTTGTCAGCTTGGGTCGTGCTGTTTTTGCTTGGGTGCTGGGGCCGCTGCAGGGTGACGCTGCTGTGCGCCGCTTCTGTGTGTGCTGGGAGCTTAGGTGCTGGCGCCGCTGCAGGGTGCCGCTGCTGTGTTTGCTTGGGCGCTGGCGCCGCTGCAGGGTGCATGCGCTTGGGATGTGTGTTGGTGTGCGCTTGGGAGCTTGGGTGCTGGTACCGCTTAGTGCGCGGTGGAGCTTGTGCCAGATGTGTGGCTGACAGACCTGGGAGTCAAATGAATGAATAGAAATGCTACATGGCCAGCGGAAAAGGGCGGACACCAGCAGCGACAGACCTGAAAAAATGAATAGGAATGCTACAACACCTGGGAGACAAATGAATGGAATGCTACAGTGACAGACCTGGGAAACAAATGAATAGAAATGCTACATGGCCAGCGGAAAAGGGCGGACACCAACAGTGACAGACCTGGGAGACACATGAGCAGTGAGAGACCTGGGAGACAAATGAATACACGCGCTACATGGCCACCGGAAAAGGGGCGGACACCAGCAGTGACCCCAGCAGTGACACAAAGGGCGGACACGTCTAGTTGAGAACCCCTAACAGTAAACTGTTTGGGGAAATAGCAATGCAGCCGCGCCTCTACAGCGTTTTGAAGGATGCCAGCGCCCGGGTTCAACCCATCTCTGTCCATGTAGCGTTTCTACTCATTGGTGTCCGTGGCGTCCGCCCCTTTTCCGCTGTGCTGGTGTCCGCCCTTTTCCGCTTGCCATGTAGCATTTCTATTCATTTGTCTCCCAGGTCTGTCACTGCTGTTGTCCACCCTTTTCCGTTGGCCATGCAGCAGTTGTATTCATGTGTCTCCCAGGTCTGTAACTGGTGTCCGCCCTTTTCCGCTGGCCATGTAGCATTCTATTCATTTGTCTCGCAGGTGTGTCACTGGTGGCGTCCGCCCCTTTTCCGCTGGCCATGTAGCTGCTGGTGTCCGCCCTTTTCCGCTGGCCATGTAGCATTTCTATTCATTTGTCTCCCAGGTCTGTCACTGCTGTTGTCCACCCTTTTCCGTTGGCCATGTAGCATTTGTATTGATGTGTCTTCCAGGTCTGTAACTGGTGTCCGCCCTTTTCCGCTGGCCATGTAGCATTTCCATTCATTGGGCCCACAGTAACAGTCGTAAAGGGTCAGGGCCCCTAAACCATACCCCGAAAAACAAAAATCATATTCAAAGTCATTAAAGGAAGTTGGATTGTAATTTCTGGTCTAGGAAACGCAAAATGATTGGAGTAGTGGGCGGGTTAACTCAAAAGAACACAAATCTGAACATAATTGCAAACCAACAACAACCAGTATCATCCCAATCCCTTCACTAATTTGTCAATCTCAAGTGGCAATTCAAATTATGATATGATGGCTCAAGACTGGAACGGTAGCAGGTGGCCAGGATTGCGTGCTCTCACAGCCAAAGGAAAGAGGAAAGAAAGCGGCTCCTCACCTTGTCGCTCCCGGCTCCCCACCTCGTCGCTCCCGGCTCCCCGCCCCAAATTTTCAAAAAAATTGTCCAAATCCCCGTGGTTTTTTGTGCTTCTTTTCCGCCCTGGACCACAAGCCATACCACAAAAAAAAAGCATTAAAAAAAGCACAAATCATACCACAAAAAAAGCACAAAACAAATCACAAATCACACCACAAAAAAAAGCACAAAAAACAATCACAAATCATAGCACAAAAATAGCACAAAAAACACAAATCATATCACAAAAAAAAGCACAAAAAAGCACAAATCATATCACAAAAAGACACGCAAAAAAATCACAAATCGTACCACAAAAAAAAGCACCAAAAAAGCACAAATCATACCACCAAAAAAACACAAAAAATCACAAATCGTATCACAAAAAAAGCACAAAAAAAGCACAAGTCATACCGCAAAAAAAGCGCCAAAAAAAGCACAAATCATATCACAAAAAAAAGCACCAAAAAAA